TAGTTGCTCTGCGGTATGTGGGATCTTCCGGGACCAGGGCTCGAACCTGTGTCCCCTGCATTGGCAGGCGGATTCTTAACCACTGCGCCACCAGGGAAGTCCATTCCTGATGTTTATAAGCCACCCAATCGGTGGTATTTTGTTATAGCAGCCCCAGTGGACTAAGAGAAATGGCGTTGTGCCGTCCCCTCGCTGCCAGGATGACCTGGCCGGGTCTGTGGCCAGCTGCCTTGCACACCCCATGCAGACCTGGCAGTCAGCCCCCAGGCAGCAGGTCCCAGGTCAGGCCCAGAAGCCCCCGCAACCCTAGGAGAGGCTGCCCGAGACCTTGTTCTGGGCCTGCTACTTGCCTTGGGGCTAAGCTTGCAGATGGGGCCGTGGGAGGTGGGTGGGGACTGAGGGAAAGCACTGCCTCTTGCTCTGCCCTAACTGCCCCCTTCCCCAGCTCTCCCTGTCTGCACCAGCTGCACCAAGGCCCTGCCACCTGCTTTCATGCCCTTTCTCATCCAGTCAGACCTTCTCTCGTCTCATCAAAACACACAGCCTCAGTTCACTTACATCTAATGAGGAAATGCCTACACCACCGCTCAGCACAGGGCCTGCCCACAGCCAAGCAGCCCAGTCATGCCTCTGGCCTCTGCTCCATGGCTCCTACACCGCCCGGTAAGGGGCGGCCCCTTTAGGCCCGCTGCCATTGGCAACAGTCTTCTGCCTCCTCTCTATCTGGGAAACTTTTTCTTATCCTTCAGAGCCCAGCAGAAGTGTCACCTCAGGTAGTGTCACCCAGGCAGGCGGGAGCCTCCACGCCAGCTGCCTCTTCTCAGACCATGAAGCGAGAGGACTTGAGGCTGTTGATTTGTTTGACGTCCCTAGACTGAGCTCCCCAAGGATGGGTACTCATCTCTTCTTTTTTCCTTTGGATTACTTAAAAAAAAAAAAAATCAAATTACACAAGTAATCTGTGAATATGTGCATACTGTAAAAGAAAAAAGTTAGAGCAATACACAAAAAGCATAAGCCCCAACTCCCTCCCCATGGTTAATAGTTGTGTGAGTTTCTTTCTCTCTCTATAAATTGATTTAGTATCTTTTTCCATAAATGAGATTAACCTATAGGTGTTGTTCTATGGGTCGCTTTTCTCACTTAATCATAGATTATGTGTGTGGTAGGCAGAATAATGGCCCTTCTCCCAAAGATGCACATGTCCTAATCCCCCAAATCTGTGAACATGTGACCTTCCATGGCAAAAGGGACTTTGCAGGTGTGATTAAGTTAGGGATCTTGAGATGAGAAGGTGATCCTGAATCATCTGGGTGGGCCCCATGTAATCATAGGGTCTTTATAAGAGGGAGGCAGGAGGGTCAGAGAAAGATCGATTGGAACATCTTACCCTGTTGGCTTTAAAGATGAAGGAAGGGGCCACAGCCAAGAAATGAGGTGGCCTTTAGAAACTGGAAAAGACAAGGAAATGGGTCCTTCCCTAGAGCCTCCAGAAGGAATACAGCCGTGCAGACATCTTGATTTTAGTCCAGTGGGATTTCTGACCTACAGGACTATAAGAAAATAAATATGTGTTATCTTAAGCCAGTTCGTTTGGGGGTAATTTTCTACAGCGGCAGTAGGAAACGAATATGGTGGGTATACAGCTGAGATAAACAATAATATTTATGGCAGTAATTAGTATTTATTGAGTATATACCATATGCCAGATGCTGTTCTAGTGCTTTGGGTGGTATATTAGTATGCCAGGACTGCCATAACAAAATACCACAGACATTTATTTTCCCAGGGTTCTGGAGGCTAGACGGCCAAGATCAGGGTGCCCACAGGGTTCATTTCTCCTTCAGCCTCTTTCCTTGGCCACCCTTTTGCTACCTCTTCACATGGTCTTTTCTCTGTGTGCCCATTTCTTTGTCTTTTCCTCTTCTTCCAAGGACACCAGTCATATTGGATTAGGGCCAATGGCCTCATTTTAACGTCATCACCCCTTATAGGCCCTAATGGCCTCATTTTAACGTCAGCACCCGTTATAGTCCCTGTCTCCAAATAAATTCTGAGGTACCAGGAGGTTAGGGCTTCAACACGTGGATTTGGTGGGGGACACAATTCTACTCATAAAATGTGGATTATCTCATTCAGTTTCCACAGTAACCCAGTGAATTAGAAGCATTATTATCACAATTTTACCGATAAGAAAACAGGCACAGAGTGGTTAAGTTACTTCCCCAAATTTACACAGCAAATAAGTAGCAAGGCCGGGTCTGGGAATCACCTGTTCATATCCTTTGCCCATTTTTCTATGAGGGAGTTATCTGCTGTTTTAGGTTTGCAGGTGCACAGGTGCTCAGGAAGCATTGAGTAACGAATGAATGAGTGGGAGTAGCTCCCAGGACTCCTAGAAGAGCATGGGCCAGGCTGGGCTGAGCCTGAAGGCTGCTTGTACCCACACCTCCCCAGGGTGGCAGGGAATGCCTCCAGGGGAAAACCAAGAACCAAGCAGGAGGTGGGTGGCCAGGAGGTGTGGTGGGGGAGGGATGGTGCCACCCTCTGTTCACCAACTGAGCACACTCCTGGGAGGATTTCTGGACGAGGGGGACGGTCTGGTTTCTCTTAACCCTCAAGGAACTGCGGCAGACAATTTTGTAGCTTGAGGTGTTCCGCGGACAGTGTTGGGATGCTAGAGTCAAATCACTCCACCTGTAGCTCCAGATTCCAGATTTCAGTTACTCAGATGTCCTAAGAGAGCTCCTCTTCGATATGGACAATCCAGGCCAGCTGCAGAGGAGGGATGGCCAGTGATTGGCCAGCTGTCTCTTGGACACAGGTGGCTGACCAACACCCATGGCTGAGGCCGGGCTTGCCTTGACCTGGCAACTCATTCTGGTCACTGTGGCAAAGGAGACAGCTGCCCATGAGGCCCAGGCAGGTCTTTGGCTGGCCGCCCAAATCAATGGGAATGCCCCAGTTACCTCTCGGGGACAGCAGGTAAAGATGGCCTCAGGGCACTCGGCGCTCAGAGCGTGGAGCTCCAGCAGACCCTTCCCACATCAGACTCTCAGCTGGCTGTGGTCCAGGGGCCACCACACAGCCCACCATCCCTGCTTCTTGACCTCTTCTCTCCACTCCATCCCAGTCTGTAACAGCAGGAGGTAGAGACACTCAGCAACAACTTTATCTTGATCCAGTATGGTACTCATAGAGGGGAATTCAAGGGCCGTATAGAAGCCAAGAGAGTTCCCATTCCATCATAGGCTCTTGGTGTGAAAAGGGGTAACTATCTCGTAGCCCCACTCTTCCCACTCAACATTACAGGAGTTGAATTTCCTATATAACGTTCCCAGGGCAAAACGATTACCCAGCCTGGAGAGTTCTTCCTTCCATCGGTCCCTCCTTGCACTGTAACCCATCTGCTTGCTGCTTCTTCCACCCGTCATCCCCACAGAAGATGGCCATTCCCCGTTCCTCACGGCTCTTCAGAGATTTGAAGGCAGCAAATGGGTCTCTTCCTCTAAGAGAAGAGTTATGGGTTTCAGCAGGAGGAAAGAGATCCAGCCCTGTCAGTCCCCGGGGAAGGTCTACCCTGAGTTTCAGGCCCACTGCAGAATGGCTTTGCTTTACCAACCTTCTCTATGAACCTGCATGTGGGCCCAGGGCAACAGTGTGGGTGGGTCTCTAGGCCCTTTGGACTGCAGACACATAGCCTTGCTGGCTGGGAAGGCCTCAGCCCACTGTCTGAGTCCCGGAGGCGTGTTTCTGGGTCCCTAGGGCCTGGAGATAGGGACACAGCGCCCCACAGAGAGCACTGACCTTGGAATTTGACCTCCCGGCTCCCTGTTCTGGTTTCACCACTTCTGAAGCTTGAGTTTCTGAGCTTTAGTTTCCTCCTCTGTAAAATGGGGAAATATCGTGTTGTTGTGAGGATCAAATGACATCACATATGGGAAAAAGCTTTGTCGACCAAAACATGCTCTGCAAATGAGTAACCGATTCTAGTGGTTAGCAAAGGGGGTGTGGGGCTTGGAGTTTCTTTGTTCTGGGCCTTCCTAGGGGGTGAGTGTTGAAGCAGAGTTGGTTTAAAGGGGGCTTTGGACTCCTACTCAAGCCCTGTGGCTGGTCCTTGGCACCCTGGGGGGCTCCCCACTGCGGGGCTCACAGCCCCCCATCCTGCATGATACCTGCAGGGCTTCTGTGCCCGTGTCTCCAGGAGTGGGTTCTGGCCCAAATGCCTCAGCCCTGCTTTGGAGACCTGGAGAGAGCGGGTAAGCCTCACGAGGTCAGGGTTTGGGATGGGGGCCAGGTGGGAGGTACAAGGTAGGGCCCCCTGTCTTTCGGTTGGTTCTCCTCTCTTCTCAGGAGACCCCAGGGCTGCCCGCCCAGAGCTGCACATGCATGGCCTTCAATTTAGACAGAGGCTAATTCTAATTCCCCAGTAGAATGGGTTTATTGAGAGAAGCAATGGAGGATTTGGGAGTCGGGGCCCAGCCTGATGACAGTGGAGGAGTATGGAGTAAGGGGATCTCATCTAATCCAACCCATCATTGGACAGATGGGCCCCTGGAGGGGAGGGCTGTCCCAGCCCACTAGTGGGGGGCTAGATTTGCTGTGTTGGGGACTCCTGTGTCCCAAGCCAGGGCTCTTTCCCGGCAGCTTCCTTGGGTCTCTGCAGATCCTGTGCTTCCAGCCTGTGGCCTGTGACTCCGGCCTGTCTTCTGGCAAGTCTGAGCCCCGTGAATGGACAGAGATGGCTACCACCCTCACCCTCCTGGTGTCACAAGAGCAAGAGGCCAGGAGCCTCCACAAATTGCAGCGTGTTGCCACCTGCCTAACCCCAATCCGGTTTATCCTGAGTTGGCAGACGCACCAGTGGGACGTACTTCCCAGGCGGGGCCAGGCTGGGCAGCCCCATCCTTCCTCATGCCACAGGCCGCAAATGCGGGCGTGGGGAGGGGGGGCGCGGGGGGAAGGGGAGACAGGTCTGGATTATCTGGGTGGGGGGTGAGATGAGGTGGGGGGCAGGCAGCTTGTTTCAGTGGAGGCACATCCCCACCCCAAGATGGTAGCATCCATTCCAGGGGGCAGCAGCGCTGCCGGCATGGGCGTTCGCCCAGCTGGTGCCAGAGACGGGGCAGGTGCCGGGCTTTGACGGTGGCCTCCCCTCCCTGCCTGCCCATCCGCTCTGCTTGGGCTCCCCAGCTGTAATGCAGAAACAAGTCCCATCCCTTACCTGCCTGGGGGTCACTGAGCCAGAGTGAGGTAATGTCGGCGTGGCTCAGCCCTCCACTGAGAGAGGCAGCCTCTAAACACAAGTCCACCTGTACTGCCTAGAGCTCTGCTGGGCTCCCTCTGGGGCCCCTGCTGCTTCCTGGCCACCTGGAGACCCGGGAGCTGGGCCAGTGTGCAGGCTGCCCAGGCCCGTCCTAGGCGTGGGAGAGGGAGCTCCCAGCACCCAGCTTTCTGGGCACCCCGGCCCTTGGTCTGGATTAACTCCTCACAGCCGATTGTTCAGGGTTCAAGGAGCCGCCCGCTCCTGGCATTCTGGTTCCACCAAGAGTCTGGGCGGCCAGGCGCAGCCAGGGCCTAATGAGTAGGGTGTGCCCCGAGGAGTTATTAGGAACAGGGTGACAGCTGTGGGCAGGTCCCCACCCTCCGCCGTCGGGCGGGCCGGCTTGCACAACAGTTACCTGTGCTGCGGACGCCACGTGGCACCCTTGCCAAGGGTTTATTTTTAAAAAACAAATACTCAGCTTTGGTGGTAGGGGTGGAGAAGGTTTCTAAATATTTAAAAGACATCATGCCAGCACTTTTGAACCCCTAAATCTATTGTATTGGGAAAGATGATGCAAGTTTGTAAAACTGCTCACAATTACAAACAGGGTAGAACGCCAAACCCATACCTAGGTTCCTGTCTCCCTCAGCTCGCCCCTTCCCCATGATTTTAAAAGGAAAAGATTTCTGCAATCACTGGGTGATTGTGGGCAGGTGGGCCTCACACCGCGGCCATCCTCCACACCTCGGTCAGGATGGGCTTCCTACTCTCTGCTCTCTGCAGGCAAACGTAACTGCCTGTTATCCCTTCCTGGGTTGAAAAATGCTGGCAGGAGGGTGGATTCCTGGGCCTGGCTGGTTTTCATGATAGGGCTGTCACCTAAGATCTTCAGCAGCTCATGGAGTTCGGGACCAAATCAGTCCTCCGAGTAACGACCAAGTGGACTCAAGGTGCTGTGTGTTTCTGTGTATCTTCTCTGTCTTCCAGAAGCAGGTCTCCTGCCCGGTAGCAGGAGTTAGTCTGATGGACACATGGGGCCTGTCGAGAAGGATGCTGAAGTACGTGTGAGTGTGTAAGTGTGTGTATGTGTGTGTGCGCACCGAGAGTCTTGCATCCCGGGTCCTGCTGTCAGCTGGGAGGCTTCCAGCTTAGAAATGGGACTGTGGAGTCAGAGGGCTCAGTGGGAGAGCTGTGGGGAAGGCAAGGGCAGGTGGGCCTGAGGGAGAACACTGCAATGGTAGCAACGTGTTCCGGAAGCTGGGTGGATGCTGCTAGGCCTAGAAACATAGGGAGAACTTGGGGACACAGACTTCCAGTGGGGTGGGGCCCAGAATATAGGCTGTTCCTCTAGAATCTCTTTCCAGTATCGTAAGCCCTGGGGCCACAGCGAGGGCATCTGCTGAAATTCAGCCAGTCGGCCATCTCCATCATCGAGCAGCTTCGCCGTGCACCGCAGCAGGCTCTGGGGATACCCAGAGATTAGCCATCTCTGGTCGGCACAGCTTCAGGTCTCACTCTACCCCGGATCTCTCTGCTGAGCCCCAGATCCTGTTGAGCTGCCCACCTGACACCACTCATCCAATCTTCACAGGGCTGCAGGGTGAACACCATTGCCTCTGCTAGAAACACCGGGGGGATAAAAGAGAATGCAAACCTCGTCTCTGCCCACCCCCATCCCCCCAGTCCCTGTACTCCAGACACAACAGCTCCTTCAGGCTCTGGGACAAGGCAAGCTCATTCTTCCATCCACCTCTGCAGCGCACTGTAACTGCTATCCGTCCCTCCATTTTTCCAATTTATTTCAGAAAAATTAAGATCTCACCTTCCCTCTTCTGGGGAGCATTCTCAGTCAAGCCCTTAAAATCTGTCTCAGTGGAGGGAGTTTCCATCACCAGCAAGCAAGGGAAGAGGGTCGTTGGAAAGACCTGGAGGTTACTTGTTAGAGCAGATGACTGCCATGGGGTGGGGGTCAGAGTAGAACATCTAGACGTATCTTCAGTCTTACAAATGAGACAGTTCTACATTGTGATGGAGTGAGGTAAGGGGGCAGGAACTATGTCTAATTTAGCAGGAGACCTTGGGCAAGTCCACTCCCCATTCTGAGCCTCCATGTTCCCATTGACAAAATGGGAATGATGGGTCCCACCTCTCAGGGTGTTAGGAGGACCAAACGATATATACCCCTTATGAAAGTTTTTAACACAGACCTGACCCAGAGGAGGTGCTTAATAAGTGCCTGCCAGCTTTTTTTCCCCTTCTCTCAAGGCAGCAGGTACTGCAAAGGCCAGGAGAGTCTAGAGGTGCCCCCAAAGCATTGACATCCCCCAGGGCACTTCTGGGACGATGAGGAGGTAGAGGGGCTAATCCGCAGGGACTGTGACAACCGGGCATTAAGAAATTACCAGCACTATGGCCATCATGCTGGTCTCTTAATTAGCCCCAGTTAATGAACAGCATGATTCATGATTCGCTGCTCCTCAACAATGCCCTTTCTGCTTGCCTTCCTCCACTTGGCCCGACTGTCGCCACCCCTATCCCACCGTCCGCATCACCCCTCAGCCACGCAGCAGGCCTAGATGTCAGCCACATGTGGGAGGAGGGGGTCGACTCTCCTCGGCCCTCTGGGCCCCCAGCCTGCCCCTGTCTGGTTCTTGGACCAGCTGAGCCCAAGGGAAGTCCCAGCGGGTGCTGAGGAGCTCTGTGTAGGAAGCCCTGAGTTAGGCTCCCGACAGAGGTGACAGATGACGGACTTGGCCAGGGCCACATAGTGTGTTAGTGGTGGAGCTTAGGCTAGTGCGCTGAGGCCTCTGGTGCAGGGACTCAACACGCTCCCCTCACCTACCTCCTTCCTTTGGCCCTGCCGCACACAACTGAGGCAGGACCTTGTCCTTCTTGTCCGTACAAACCTCTAGGGGACTGGCTGCGCCAAGTTCTCAGAAAATGGGTTCATGGAAGAGGTCTCCTGAATCTTCCAGCTCCATCCCTCTCTGTCCTCTGGGGAACCGAAGCAGGCAGAGACCTAGGAAGTTTAAAGGGTCCACCGTGTTCCTCAGCCCTACGGCGGTGCCCACTTACTTGTCCACGGCCGCCCGTACCACCTTCCATGCCCACCGATTTACCTTGCTTCTTTTAGTTCAAGGACTACATAAATATTATGAAATTAACTTGTTTGTGTTTGACTCCTCATGAGTAAGGTTTGTTAGGTTGTACGTGGTAGCATATTTTGTTTGCTTTTTTAAATTGTGGTAAAATACACATTACATAAAATTTACCGTCTTAACCGTTTTAGGTGTACAGTTCAGTAGCGTTAAGTAGATTCACATTGTTATGCAACCAATCTCCAGAATTTTTCATCTTGCAAAACTGAAACTCTAGACCCATTAAACCCAGCTCCACGTTTCTCCATCTCCCGAGCCTCTGGAAACTGTTTTCTTTGTTTTTTATTGAGGTATACTCTGCATATAGTGAGATGCATAGATCTTAAGTGTAAAACCTGATGCGTTTTGACAGATGCATATATGTGTAACCACGTCTCCAAACAAGATATAGCATCTTTCCATCACCTCACAAACTGGCCTTATTCTCCTTTCCTTTTTCTTTTTTTTAAAAAAAGTTTTATTAACTATAATCATAATCACCATGCTGTACATTAGATCCCCAGAACTCTTCTGTCAATCCCCCCCTCCTTCTCTGAGGCAACCAATGTTCTAATTCCTATCATTATAGATTAGTTTTGCTTGTTCTAGAACTTCATATAAATGTCATCATACTATATGTACTCTCTTGTGCTGGCTAATTTCTTTTAACACAATATGGTTGAGATTCATCCATGTAGCATCTGTCAATACAGGCACACCTCAGAGATCTTGCAGTTTCAGTTGCAGACCACTGCAATAAAGCAAATATTGCAATAAAGCGAGTCACATTTTTTTTTTTGGTTTCTCGGTGCATATAAAAGTTATGTTTATACTATACTGTAGTTTATTAGGTGTGCAATAGCATTATGTCTAAAAAAAGTACATACTTTAATTAAAGAATACTTTACTGCTAAAAAATGCTACCTATCATCTGACAACACAGGGTTGCCATAAACCTTTAATTTGTAAAAAACAAAATATCTTCAAAGCACAGTAAAACAAGGCATGCCTGTAGCTTGTTCATTTCTAGTGCTGAGTAGTATTCCAGTGTACAAAAATACCACAGTTTGTTCATTTATCCACATATGGATGGATGTTTGCTTGTTTCCAGTTCTTGTTGTTACGAGTAAAACTGCTGTGAACATTTTTTTTTTTTTTTTTTTTTTTTTGCGGTACGCGGGCCTCTCACTGTTGTGGCCTCTCCCGTTGAGGAGCACAGGCTCCAGACGCGCAGGCTCAGCGGCCATGGCTCACGGGCCCAGCCGCTCCGCGGCCTGTGGGATCTTCCCGGACCGGGGCACGAACCCGTGTCCCCTGCATCGGCAGGCGGACTCTCAACCACTGCGCCACCAGGGAAGCCCTGCTGTGAACATTTTTGGACAAGTGTTTTGGTGACTATAATGTTTTCATTTCTTTCTGGTAAATGCTTGGGAATGGAACTGGTGAATCATAGGGCAGGTGTATGTTTAAATTTATAAGAAACTGTCAGTTTTCCAAAATGGTCAGACCATTTTACACCCCCGCTAACAATGTCTGAGTCCCAGCTGCTCCCCGTCCTCGCCAGCATTTGGAATTGCTGGTCTTTTTCAGTTTAGCTCTTCCAGTAGGTGTAAAATGTGGCCACACAGAGGTTTTATTTACGTCTCCTGATTAACTCAACGATGTTGAGCAATCTTTATTTGTTTATTGGCCAATCTTCTTTTGCGACATGTCTGGTCAAGTCTTTTGCTCTCTTTTATTTATTTACCTATTTCTTTATCTGGGGGAGTCCTTTTTATTATTGCTCTGTTGATATTCTCTATATATGCTGGATACCAGAACTTTGTCAGATATATGTTTGGTGAATATTTCTTTGTAGACTGGCTTGCCAATTTTTGTAACAACGTCTCTTGATTTTTAAAAAATCTTGATGAGGAAAAAAAAAAAAAATCTTGATGAGGTCCGATTTATAAATCTTTCTTTCAAAAAATGTTTTGTGCTTTTTGTGACCTGTTTAAGAAAACTGCCTTCTGCAAGATCATGAAAAATTTCTCCTCTGTTTTCTTTTAGAAGCTTTATAGTTTTAGCTTATCTGTTTAGGTCTATAATCCATCTCAAAATAATTTTTGAGTATGATGTGAGGTAAGGGTTAATGCTCATTTTTTTAATATATGACTATCCGGTTGTTCTAGCACCGTGTAAAATGAAAGACTTTCCCTCCCCATCGAGTTACCTTGGTGTCTTTGCTGATTTGCTAATAATCAGTTGACCACATGTGTGTGGATACATTGGGTTGGCCAAAAGTTCGTTCGGGGTTTTCCATAAGCTGTTACAAAAATCTGAATGAGGGCTTCCCTGGTGGCGCAGTGGTTGAGAGTCTGCCTGCCGATGCAGGGGATACGGGTTCGTGCCCCGGTCCGGGAGGATCCCGCATGCCGCGGAGCGGCTGGGCCCGTGAGCCGTGGCCGCTGGGCCTGCGCATCCGGAGCCTGTGCTCCTGAGGCCGCAGCGGGGAGAGGCCCGCGTACCGCAAATAAATAAATAAATAAATAAAATCCGAATGAACTTTTTGGCGAACTCAATACTTCTAGACTCTGTTCCCTCGATTCCATTGTCTATTCTTATGTCAATACCCACTGTCCTGATTACTAGAGCTTTATAGCAAGTCCTAAACCAGGTAGTGAGAACCCTCCATGGGGTAGCACAGTTTTGAAATACCAACAATTCCCTCCAGTATTTATTCTCTGCCCTTTTCACCGCTCGGGCAGTTCTGTGCTGATTGCCGAGGGGAAGTAAGCATAAGCTCAATCGCAAGATGCAGGGCAGACACAAAAGGGAGATTTCCTGCTTTGGTTTTGAAAGCCCAAGTCCTCAGAGGAATAGAGACATAACATTTGGGGAACACAACGTGATAAAGAGCAGCCCGCCCCTCAGCTTCTAGTCAACAACACTTCTAAGACAAGATAACCCACCCTAGGATGGGTGGAAGGAATTAGAGCAACCATGCACCCCTACGTCGGGGTTAGGATCTCAGGGAGGCAGGGGAACCCTTCCAGAACCTCCCCTGTCTCTGATGGTCCAGGGCAGCAGAATGAATCCTGGACCCTCACTGTGGCCCTGGGGAAGAGCTGTGTCCTGAATAGGCTGTGGATCAGCACAGCAGCCATCCCAACAGAGGGATGGAAATGTACCCCGGTGCTTTGGTTCCCTGTAAACCTCCCAGAAGATCTGCCCTGACCCTAAGAAAAGGGGGAAAGGATCATGAATTGACTGTGATTAATGTCCTGCTACTCTGGTAGCAAGGGGTTTCAGCTGAGTTATGGGGAAGGAAAGAAAGATCCTGAAACACCTGAGTTTATTGCTTACGATTTATTCTGCTTTATACGGAGCTTCTAACAAACTACATTTAAATGACCGAAGCTAATGATAATAAACAGTGAAGATGGGGGAGAGGAGCCCTCCTTTCCGCTGGGAGAAGGGCTGGTGGGGAGGAATCAGGGCGCTCCCCGGCCAGGCCATTTGCCTGCCTCACTAATGTTTCAGCCCCTGCGTTTCGGATCTCAAAATGCCATCAAACGATTCATCCTCCTAACGTGTTCTTCTGAGATCTAGTGCCTCCGTCCCGAAACACCTTAATAAAGTCCTTCCGCTCAATGCATCGCTCTTGTCTTTAGCAATTCAAAGGACATCATGCTGGGTTCCAGATGACACCTCAAGACCCTCTCGGAGCGACGCCTGGAGGTGAGCCCCGTTTCCTACATGGAGGGACTGTCTGGGGAACTGACACTCTGAGTGAGGGCACTGTCTTTTCCTGGTTGCAGAGAACGTTCAGGTAGGGCCGCCTCATGCTTCCCAGTCCTGGTGTTATTTTCCATGCCATCTGTGTGCTGACTACACCCATTGTAGGTACGGAGAAACTGATGCTTCAGCTCTGTGTATTAAGTGCAGGACAATCCAGTTTGCATGTTGTTTTGCTTATCCAAGCATGTAAAATAAACACTTCAAAACACATTGAATTAATACCTCCCTTTGCTGGCATCTCATTTCCACCAAATGTTCAGAAATGGGACACGTGGAAAATGGAAAACAGACCAAAAATATTTGCTCAACTGGCACTGTGGATTAGGGTGTACAGGAGAGTATAAACACACACACCCGCTCCACATACACACCCTGCAGGTTGAGCCCTGGATTAGGGCCCTTTCAAAGCAGCCAAGGCTAGGCTGCCAAGTTCAGGGTTGCCCTGGGCCTGGCTGTGCTGGGGTGAGGCCAGGGGTGCTTGGGTCAGAGAAATGCAGTGTCCTGGAGCTCACTGAGAGGCCCTGCACCCACTGCCCAGAAAGGGGTGTGGGCTGTCACCTCCTGCTGAGAAGGCCATCGGCACCCAGGGGTTGGCAGAAGGGAGAAAGGGTAAAAGGACTTCTAGCTCATTGCTGAGTAAAGGCTAGCTCCTGTCCAGGGTCCTGTGGCCCCTTCCCCCAGCAGGACTCCTGGCACATGTCTAAGTGGCCCTGCTCGAGGGAGTATTGAACTCATTCACCCTCCCAGCAGTTGACGCTCATGGGCCTCTTACTCATCCCGAAGTCATCAGTCATGTTTCCAGGAGTATGAGTAATTCAGGGAGGGAGGGGGAAGGGGAGAGGACTCACACTTGTGCGGGGTGGGGGTGGGGATGATGTTGAAGAGGCAATGTGGCCCAGAATGAGCCCTCATCTCTCTTATTCCCGAGCTGGAAATGCAACTCTTTTTGAGAAGTAATGCATCCTTAATCTGCTGCAAAGTGGTGTGTGTGTGTGTGTGTGTGTGTGTGTGTAGAATGCTGGCAGTTTAAGGAAACTGGAAACCAAAGCAACAAGGACTTCTCCCTTCATCCCTAGGCAGCTGGGGAAGTGTGGTAGCCCAGAGATGCCAATAGGGTACCTTTTAGACTTATTGATAAAATATGAACTCGATTTTTTCTAACACATTATCCCATTTGTCTCTCTGAGGGGAACTGAAGCTCAGAGAGGTCATGTGAATTGCCCACCACTGGGAACTATCAGAGCTGGCATTAGAACCCAGGTCCCTAGACTAGTCCAGCACCTACGTCTCTGGACTGTCAGGTCTGGTCTTTGCCAGCCTCTGGACTTGTTTTCTCTGCCAGACCAGCTCTCCACAGCTGGGCTCAGCCCGGACCTGACAGCCATCCCCACCCTTTCCTACATCACATTCTCCCAGAGGTCCCGGCAGTGGGTGCTCCCGGTGAAGTTCAAGTACAGATTATTTTTCCCTCTCCCTGCTCTGAGGCTTGGCTGCCTTCAGAGTAGAACATTTTCTGAGGCAGTAACAGGTGGAAAAGCCAGGAGACCACATGTAGGATGGAGAGTTGGTGAGCCAATCAGCCAAGACTATAAGAGGTGACCAAGGAAGGGTTCTTCTGGCCCAAACAGTGGTCAGGCATTTTGGCTATGGATTGGCTGAGGAAGCTGACATCTTAACCCTGTACCTGAGTTTCTTATGTTTCCCGGCACGCTCCTCCCCAGAGAATGGATGGAATACATCCTTAATTCCCTGGAAGCGGAAACCCTGCAGGAAATACACCTGGAAAGGGAACTCCCCCTTGGTGAGCACCTACTATGTTCCCGGACATTGTGCTATGTTTCACACATATTATCTTTTTGGATCTTCACAAAAACTCCCTGTGAGGCAGGCAGTATGATCCTCATTATACGGGTGAGAAACTGAGGGTTCAGAGCTTATGTAACTTGGGCTACATCACCCAACTAGTAAGCGAAAGAGGCAAAATTTGAATCCGGATCTGACAGCTCAGTGCCTAGTCTATCGAATCATCCTGCCTTAGAAAGTCTACAACAGCTCAGGAAATATATTCTAAACCACCTCATCTCAGGGCCCAACCTCAGATCGAGATCAAAGAAAAAGCCATTGTCACAGGATAATGACTTCTTGAGATCAGAGCCTCTTATCAGTGGAATTGTGTCCCCCCAAATTTATATGTTGAATTCCTAACATGATTGAATTTGGAGACAGGGTCTTTAAATAGGTAATTAAGTTAAAGTGAGGTCATACGGGTGGGCTCTAATCCAATGTGACTGGTGTCCTTCTAAGAAGAGGAGATCGGGACACAGACACACACAGAGGGCAGACCATGTGAAGACACAGGGAGAAAGCGGCTGTCTGCAAGCCAAGGCGAGAGGGTTCAGAAGAAACTAGCCTGAAGACCCCTTGATCTTGGACTTCCTGCCTCCAGAATCGTGAGAAAATAAATTTCTGTTTAAGCTACCCATCTGTAATACTTTGTTATGGCAGCTCTAAGGAATTAATTCAGAGCCCCTTTTAAAGATCATCTCTGCGTTCCACACGCAGTAGGCACAGAATCCACGTTTGTGGATGGGCAGAAAGAAGGAAAATGCCTCTCTAGTAGGCAGAGAGGATTCAAATTTTGACTTTTGCAACCGGCATCTGTCCTTCTGTTGAAACTTCCTGTTTCTGAGGAACAGAGATTTTTACAGATCCCAGAGGGCATCCAGTAAACCCAGCAGGGATTACCAAATAATTCTGGTTTTGATGAGCTCAGTGAGTATGAATCAGAAGCAGACAGAGTAGCGTTTCCCTTGAAATACACCCAAGATTACATTTTAGAGGGAAAAGCAAAAACATGTTTGGGAATTTATCACTAGCCAGGAAAGATGGACAGTGTTGGGACCCTAGGCCAGGTGGAAAAGGTCTTTCCTTCCTTCTGTGCAGAACAGGAATCACCATGGGCTTGGGTGAGGTCTGATGTTGCTATTGGTCACGCCGGGGCCTGTCCTCGTGGTTCTCACCCAAGTCTCCTATTTGAAAAAGGCAATTCTGGGGTGAGGGTCCCTCCTGGGAGCCCTAGTCATCTTGGTGGGCCATGGCCTACAGGATGACCTGGCTCCAACTCCCCCAGGAGGGAGTCCTGGTAGCTTCCCCAGAGATGTAGAGGTTTGGGACAGGGAGAGAGTATGGGGTCCACACAGCTAGGACCCCTCAGCCCCTGACTCGGGGAACCAGGGCTCCAGGTCCTATGATGGGACAAGATGGGGCATGGGTGAGAAGGTCGAGCCAGGGTGGGCCACACATCATGGTGAAGCCTGGCTGTTTTTTCAAGAGAATCCCATGAAACTGGCCGTGGCTGAGGAAGAGCTGTGAAAGATCATGGAAAGTGAGTTCAAGCAGGAGGTCCTAGGGAGGCCTAGGGATGGTAGGGTTTGGAAGCAGTTAAGAGCTTAGACAACCTGGCTTCTGATCTTGGCTCTGCCATTTATTGGCTGTGTGATGTGGGCAAGCTTCAATGCCTACGGCACCTCAGCCTTTATATCCGTCCACTGGGGAAATCCGATCTACCTCCGAGGATCACTGGACGGTGGCATGGGGCGATGTGTGATGAACCTCCAGTGCAGGCCAGACTCCCGTAAGAGCTCCATACTGGGGCCAGTCTCTCTCTGAGCGAGCTGGTCACCCAGCTATCAGAGTCATTTGCCCACATTAGACGAAGGGTCTCCTCTCGCAGGAGGGGATCTGACCACGCTCTCCTGGGTTTATACCTTCGGGGGGCCTCACTGCCTGGAAAGAGCATCTCAGCTCCTTCAGGATCGGCTCTCCTTAGCTCTTCAACCTCATTTCTTGCCACCTTCTCCTGCACCCTCTCAGGATCTTCTTACAGTTCCCCAAATCTCCCTCCACCCTGAAACCTCCGTGCCTTCTAGCACAATGCTCCTTCCTCTGCCTGAAACTCCCCTCCCCTCCCTCCATCGGGCGTCTGCCTACTCCTCCCACAGCACGTATCACAGAGTCCCCTCCCCACCCTCTCCTTCCCTCCTGGGGGGCAGTCTTTCCTGCCACTCCCTCCGAATGGCACCGAGCCCCCTGGCCTCCGGCCCCATCTCCCTCTGCCCCCGGCACACCTACGGTCTGCAGTGGAACTGTCTTTCCCTTCTAGGCCACGAGCTCCCAGTGTCTTGTCAGTTCTCTCTCCCTCCCCTGTGCCTAGTCCAGTGCTTGAAACACAGTAACAGCTCAATAAACATGTGCTGAAAGACTTGATGACTTGCTAAATGAATGGTTTCTCCGGGATATGGGGGCCAGTCTCATAAATGAGTCACCATGCCCCCTTCCACTGACCCAGGTGAAACAGTCCTTGTGATGACATCACTAGTTTGCCCTTGATTCTCAGAATCACCCATGGCTTCTTCTTTCTTCTCCTTTTGGTCCTATTTGCTTTTCATCTCCCTCTTCCTCCTTCCTTTCCTTCCTCCCCTGGGGGCATCACCCAGTTATACTCTTGGATAATGGTGAGATAGGATCCTGAGATCCATCCCCAGGTGAGAAGGTGGGACAGATATGATTCCTGTGGTGCACCTAGCGTTGGACACACACAGAGACCCTGCAGCAAATGTTGGACCCTGGTGTTCTTGAGTTAACTGAGTAGGAACCTGAAAGGCATGGGTGGGGGAAGGAGGAAGGTGTTTGATGAGACCTGGGCCAAGGAAAATGGGCACGGTGTGTGGGAACCTGGCAGGTTTGGGACCCTGAAAGTCTCCACATTCAACACTGATTCTGGTGTGGGTGGCGAGGGGGCACCACCCTCACGCATACACTCATGCCTGGCTGCCTGTGGTCCCTTGGGGAGGGCAGTTGTCCTTCCCCAACCCAACTCAGATGATCAGGCAGGAGCCCAGAGGTGACCGCTCCAGCCCTGACCCCCAGCCAACCCCAGGGTACACCCCTGCTCCTTTTCTCTCATTTTCCCTCCTTTTCCCCAAGACTCCCCTCAACTTCATTAAATGTCATGGAGGTGTTTCTGGCCTAAGTTATGAGGACTAGCCTTTCAGAGTGTGCCTCGAGATCACTGCCATCTTCCAGTTGTATACTTTTCCATGAGAATGAAAAAATAAGTTAGTACCTGTTTCTGGAAAACCGATGTTCATAGGATCATGAAGGAGCAGATGGGATATTTGTGACTCTTAAAACAGAATACCACAAATATCTGAATAGAAGGCAGCTTCTGAGGCTGTAGAAAAATAATATTATAATGAATAAGAGGACCTGCTACTTCATGTATCTGGTGGAAAATGTATGGCATGAGCTGACCTCAAAAAGTTGGTTTGTAAATAAGTAAAAGTAAATGAACCCAAGGAGAGATAAATCAAAGGGTACTTCTTGGGAGGGTTTTACGGGGCAGAGGGGCACCAGCTGGCCACACATCTCTAGCCCCATGCTTCTCACACTTCTCCAGTCATCTCCGTGTCTGTTTCCTCACTGGCTGGTGAGCCCTATGTAAGGTTTTATAGGCCCAGTGTCTTTATATAGCATCTCTCTCTCTCAATCCCTAGCGCCAGGCACAGAACCTGGCACACTAGGTAGGGTGATGCATATCATTGATCATCCAAACCGGGACACTTCAAGAGTGAAAGGAGGCTATTACTCATTACGTCAGGACAACAGTTATAATCTGGGACTAATGCATGAATGAACAAATGAACGAATGAATGATTCTTTAAGAGGTTGAGGCTGTTGGCACTAAGGCAGCCATGATGTCACTGTCAAATAGGAAATTCCTCTACATGTACCATGTGTCCCATTACACGTTTTATGGTCCATCTTTGTTCTTCTCTTGCAGACGAGGACTCCTGTTGCAGGAGGAAAGCTGGGCTGGGACTGAAAGGCCCTGCCGGCGCTGCTCAGAGACTCCTCCACCGTGGGCACTGCCTGCTTGGGTGCCAGGCACTGAGCTAGGCGCTCTGTGTTCTTACCGCGTTTATTCCTCCCACCACCCTTGCGAAATAGACGCTCTTATAACCTTTTCTAGGTGAGTCAACCGAGGCTTAGTGAAGTTAAACAACGTGCCCAACGTCACACAGCTACCGATATCAGAGCCGCAACCCGGGCCCAAGCCTGTTGGATGCCGGAGCGTGCGGTTCTAACAGCCCTCAACCCAGCTTTTGTGTGGCCTGCTCTCTCCTGCTTGGTGCCCAGTGATATCAGGTTCATCTGCTGGAGAGGAGTCACGGGGTCTGGGGGCTGGGGAACAGAATGGGAACAGAGAGTTTGCCTCCCTGGAGGCCAATCCTGTGTCCAGTTGTGGGGTGGACAGGGCAGTGGCCAGGTCAGGAGGGTGGGCAGCGGGCTCTTCGTGGGCAGCAAGCCTTTCGGGCTCTCTGCAGGAGAGGATGCCCAGACCCCAAAGTTGCGTCTGAGTCCGCATGGCCGGGGAAGGTGGGTTAAGGAAGAGAAAGTGGGTCCCTTCTACATCCTACCTCCTGCCCTCCCCACCCACCTTCACCCCTCCGGGGCTGTGAGGCTTCCTTGGACCCGGCCTGGCTATCATTCCAGAATGGCCATCTGAGGCCCAGCCACAAACCATCGGGAGAGCAGGCCCAGGGGCCTGAGGTCTCCAGCAAGGGTGGGCATGCCACACCCAAGAGCCCGGGGGTGGGGGGGAGAGGCTGGCAGGGGCCTGTCCAGGCTGAAATGGAGGAGGGGAGGCAGTGCCAGGACCCGTCTTCCCTCATAGGTACTGCTCGGCACCCTGCTGGCTGGATGCGGGGGTGGGGGTGGGGTGGGGTGGGGGTGGGGGTGGGGTGGGGTGGGGGTGGTGGTGGGGTGGGAGGAGGCGTGCCAGGCTGGGTGTAGGCCAGGAAAGGGCTCAGCTAGTGCTCTGCTGAGCACTGGTCCCCGCCTGCCGGCCTCTGCCAGCGACTCCCCTCAGACAGGCCTTGCCCCCTGGCAGCCAGTCGGGCCCCAGCCTGGGAACTTTGCCGGCCAAGTACAGCTAACTGGCGCCCTCTAGTGTCTGCCTCTCTCAGTCCAGTTGCCCCTCTTGGGAACAAGGCACATCACACACAGCTCCCCTGAGCCAGTCCCCGGGCCAGGCCCCCCACAAACCTATCATGTATCTTCCAAACCAGGACGCCTCTGAGAGTGAGAGGGGGCTCTGCGGACAATGAGGCTAGGACAACGGACATAAAATGGGACTGTCCCAGGCAAGTCGGGGCGTCTGATCACCCCACCCAGGTCAGAAGCACACCCTCCCCGTCGTGGCCGCCAGAACCATCTCTGGGAGGCATCCCATTAAGGAAATGAGAACCCCGTTAGCACACGGCCTGGGAGAGTAGGTGATCAAGAAACGTGCGATCAATAAACAAGTACCAGCTACACATGGTGGTGGTAATCACCTGTTTGCTCTAGCTCTGGGGGCCCTGTTGCAGCCGGGCGTCGGGGAAGCGGCATCTAAATCTCCTTGTGAAGCAGGAAGGAGGACTCTGGCTCTGGAGCCTGGCACGCAGCAGGAGCACGGGCCTTGGGGCCGATAGAGCAGGCCCAAACATCGGCCAGTGATTAACCGAGACGTCCCCCTCCGGCCATTTTGGGTCTTGCTGCGGCGTCTGGAAAGAAAAGCACCCCTCCAGCAAGAGGACGACATTTTGACAGGGCACCTCTTCCCGCTGGTTTTCAGGTGGGTCCTCAGTCTCCCCGTCTGTCCCTCCTTGCGCATGCGTTCGCGATGACCTCTACTCTGCTGCTCGCTCCGTGCCCTCCTTGACAAACACAGGCCAGTGGGTGGGTCGCTACCGTCCCCGCCCCACCCGCCCCCCTCCATTTCCTCATCACCGCCTCGTGGTTTCTGGCGAAGGCCTCAGGGACTTGTGATAACTGCTGGCTCCCCGGGGCTCCCTGATGTGGGCTGATGCAATGCGGCCGGCATCTGTGACCCCTGCACCAGGTGGGACCCAGCGCAGGGAGGCAGGATGGGAGCAAAGGATTTCCACAGGTGGGGGTGAGGGGAGGGCCCGAGCGGGCTCAGCTTGGAGAATTCCAGGGCGAGGGCTCTGGGGTGGCTCTGTGTGTGTGTATGATTTGAAGAGACATATAAGTGACTTCGGTGAAGTCAGGCGGATTTGGGGGCTGGGCAGACGCCATTCTGGAGAGTTCCTTGGCATAGGGATGATGGGCCAGGTCTGGTCCCTTGTGTGGGAAAGGGAAGAAAGCTTTAAGCTGGTTTTTGTATTCTTCAAACCAGTTTGCCCACATCCTTGCCATCTGTGCCCCATGAAGGACCTGTTTGCAGCTGGGCATGGCTGGACCTGAGGGGCAGAGCGCCTATGTGAGGCCAGTGGCCTCTCCAGCCTCTCACCCAGCGGTCCCAGCCACTGCTGGAGTGGAGGGAGCGTCTGGCTCTGCCTGCTGTCCTCCTGCTCCTCACTCATCCTCTCCCCAGTCCTCCCCCTCCCCCCACCCCATCCCCTCCTCACTCATCCTCCCCCCAGTCCTCCCCTCCCCCACCCCATGCCCTCCTCACTCATCCTCCCCCATTCCTCCCCCTCCCCCCACCCCTATCCCCTCCTCACTCACTCCTCCCCCCCAGTCCTCCCCCTCCCCGAACCCCATCCCCCAGCCAGCGGGCCCAGCTGGCAGCAGCGCGGGCTCAGTCGCAGCAGTCTCTGCGCCTTTTCTGTCCTCGGGGCCCTGGCTCTAACATAAGGCTTACTTCTCCAGCCCACCTGCAGGGCTTTGCACAACGAGCAACACACAAGCATTGGGTCTGGAGCAAAAAACCCTGGGTTTTTAGGAGATTGGGATTGACATATATACACTAATATGTATAAAATGGATAACTAATAAGAACCTGCTGTATAAAAAAATACATAAAATAAAATTCAAAAATTCAGAAAAAACAAAAAAACAAAAGCCCTGGGTTTGAGATCAGGCTCTGCCATTTACCAGCTATGTGGCCTCGGGCAAGCTAAACTCTTGGAACCTCAGTTATCTCATCTGTAAACTGGGGATAATAATACTTGATGGTCCTTATCTCATGGGGCTGTCATGAGAATCAAATGCATCATGCACGTGCAAATGCTTTGCAAAGGGCTCCACCAATGGGAGGGATTATTGTTGCTGTTTTCATACCACACTCAACCCAAACAGAACACTCACCCAAGACTGGAAACATGTTCTGAGGGCTGCCGCTTTACTCATATGGTCACTGTCTGGTGAGCTCGCTGTGTGCCAGGCCCTGTTCTAGGGACATGGGCTACACAAACAAATATGAACCCCCGCCAACCTAAAGCTTACATTCTAGGCGGGGGGCTCCCCCACACCCCAATCTGCTCAGCTCACACCCTGGCCTTTCTCCTGCACCTGCAGACCTAGCCTGAGAAGTCAGACAACATCGATCAGGCTGCTAGGGATTCTCTTCCTAAGTGCCTCGCAGTCACCTGATGGCCTGGCAGAAGCCCTTGGGTGGGAAAACAAGGTCATTCTGATACTTGCTGGAACACTCAGAGCATTGTAGCAAGAAGAGAGCACGGTCATTAAGTCTAATCGCCCATTTTACAGATGAGGAAATTGGGGTCCAGAAGGGTTTAACTGCCTCACCCTCGGTTATGCAGCTGGTCACACAGTTATTCATTTGGTCAACAAACATTTATTGAGCTCCTACTCTGTGCCTCCCACTGGACACCAGGGACAAGGCTCTGTCTTAGCTTTGGCATATGAAAGCAAGTAGGTGAATTTCAGGTGGTGAAGAGTGCTGGGCAGAAAACTAGGCCTCCAGATAGGGAGGGGGAGTGACTAGGGGTTACGGAGGTCAGGGGAGGCCTCGTGAGGTGTCAGATTTGAGCTGAGGAATCAAGCAGAGGCCTTGAAGTACTCCAGAAATCCCCTCCCTACACTTAAAAGGCAAAGGAATGCCTCTCCATCCCTGCCCCCTGGGAAAAAGAAATGGCATCAGAAGAGAAAAAAGGGGCTTTCCCCCTCCTGGGAGCAAGCAAGTCTCTCTGAGCCTAACGCTGAGTGACTCCTGGCTTGAAGAGGGAGGTGGCCCTCTCTGTTACCCAGAGCTCAGGGTACCTGGGGTTGCTTTTGTTTTTTTAATAGACTATTTTTTAGAGGAGTTTGAGGTTCACAGCAAAGCTGAGCAGGAAGTACAGAGAGTTCCCATTTACCCATGGTCCCCCGTGTACCCCCGCCTCACACATGCACAGCCTCCCCACCATCCACGTTCGCCACCAGCGTGGTCCATCTGTTACAATCCATGAACCTACACTGACATGTTATCACCCAGAGTCCACGGATTACCTTAGGCTTTACTCTCAGTGTTGTACACTCAGTGGGTTTTGACACCTGTACAGAATAGCTTCACTGCCTTAAAAATGCCCTGTGCTCTACTTACTCACTCCTCCCTCCCTCCAAACCCCTGGCAACCACTGACCTTTTTACTGTCTCCATCGTTTTGCCTTTTCCAGGATGTCATAGGGTTGGAATTGTACGGTAGGGAGCCTTTTGAGATTGGCTTCTTTCCCTTGGTAATTTGCATTTAGATTTCCTCCATGTCTTTTCATGGCTTGATAGCTCATTTCTTCTTTTTTTTTTTTCAATTTTATTTATTTATTTTTGGCTGCATTGGGTCTTCGTTGCTGCACGCTGGCTTTCTCTAGTTGCGGCGAGGAGGGGGCTACACTTCGTTGTGGCGCGTGGGCTCCTCATTGTGGTGGCTTCTCGTTGCAGAGCACGGGCTCTAGGCGCTGGCTTCAGTAGTTGTGGCACACGGGCTCTAGAGCGCAAGCTCAGTAGTTGTGGCGCACGGGCGTAGTTGCTCTGCGGCATGTGGGATCCTCCCGGACCAGGGTTTGAACCCGTGTCCCCTGCATTGGCAGGCGGATTCTTAACCACTGTGCCACCAGGGAAACCCCTCATTTCTTCTTAATGCTGAGTAAAGTTCTGTCCGGATATAGGGGCTACTTTTGTTTCAGTTTTTGTTTTTTAGCTGGGCTTCTATCTAGCTTTTCCTGCAGCAGTCTCAGCCTGCCAGCCTCTCATTCCCCAGTGGTGGAGGTGGAGCAGGGGTATTGCTGCCTGGTGCTTGCAGCAGGTCCAGCTGGAAAGCATGGGGCCTCTCCGGGCCCCAAGGCTGCACCACCCCCGGTCCCCAACAGGTGGCCACACCACCCAGCTCTGGCTGGCCTCTAGTTGGCAATGACTGAGAGGGACAGGGCCATCTTGGGAGACTGTGTGAGGGAACAAGGTAGAAGTGGTGGCTGTCCCCCATTGGCCACCTCTCTTTCTCTCTCCCTCTTCCCAGGCAACTCAGGCAGCCGAGCTACATTTCTTGGTTTGGGGGAGGGGGAGACCTGGAGCATTTTGCCATTCGTGTTCTTCAGGGAAAGAAGTTCTGGTGCCTTGCCCTCACACGATACTGTCTTCTAGAAGACTAGAAACTTCCATTGTGTTCACAATGGGATCTGATCCCCCAAGTAGGTAGTTCTCTGGGCAAATGACCCCATTTGCATGGGGAGAGCCTCCCTGGGGTAAGGAGAAAGGGTGCTGGTATATTCTGCTCTTGGAGCTGGCAGCGTAAATGGGGAAATATTTCTGGAGAAAGAGGCTGCTCCTTTTGTTAGCAAGATTGAACCCCAACACCTGGGAATGGATACAGAAAATGTATGTATATACCATACAATGAAATATTATTCAGCCTTCTAAAGGAATGAAATTCTGATAAATGCTACAGTACAAATGAACCCTGAAAACGTTTTGCCAAGTGAAATAAGCCAGACACCAAAGGACAAATATTGTGTCATTTCACTTATATTATGTATCTGGAATAGCTAAATTCATAGAGACAGAAAGTAGCATGGTGGTTGCCAGGGGCTGGGTGGAGGGAAGGGGAGTTAGTGTTTAATGGGATCAGAGCTTCAGTTTGGGCTGACGAAAAAGCTCCAGAGACGGATGGTGGCGATGGTTGCACAGCTTTGTGAATGTACTTAATGCCACTGAACTGTACGCTTAAAAATGGTTAAAAGGGTAAATTTTATGTTAGATATATTTTACTACCATAAGAAACCTTAAAAAAAAAAAAAGGCTGAACCAGGATCATAAAGTCCACAGAGCCCATCATGTTCTTTCACCATTGTTCACGCTACCCCCCACTATGGCAATCCAACATGGTACCCTACGGCTCCCACCCATGGAACCCTGCGGCTCAAGAACGGAGCTCTCACTGCCTCAAACGAGCCTTGAACCTCAAGTGAAAGGACTTGAGTTGAGCCTAATCGCTGAGCCTCATCTTCCTCAGATATAAAACGGGGAAAGAATACTTGCCCTTTCCTATGTCACAGAACCGTCACAGGATCAGTGAGGTTATGGATGTGAAAGTACGTGTAAATTCTGAAGCACTCAGTACAGATAAGGAATCATAAACAATATCATCCTTATTGCTTCCCTAGGTCATTGGCTCCATCTGGGGACAACTCTAATTGCTGGAAAGTTCAGGCAGAATTGTGAAGTAGCAAAGGTTGCTCTTGCTATCACCTCTCCTCTTACGTATGTCTTAGGATGTGCCTCTCCATTTAGCAGTTTCATCTTCCATCCCAACCCCTTGATATCGTGAGCGATGCTCACCTCCTGCCTATATCTTTTCCCTTGGGAACTGTGTTAGGAAAACCCACTTCTCCTGTG